TTGATAACATAATGAGTATGATGGTCTACCCTTGTTTTGGCTATATTGTCCCTTGCAGGCTTCAACAGACCAAAGCGCTGTGGATACAATTATTCCATATAAAGTTGGGGGATTTGCCTTCTCTTTGATCCAGCTCCTTGGAATTATATTAGTGATGTCTCAAGTTGCGTGCCAGTTTTTATCATCTTTATACCTGTGACAGCAATCAGCATCTGGTATCAGGTAATTTGTAGTTTGGACCATGTTCTATATTATGAGCTGCCATATAACATCTTAAATGGGATATTCTTGTGCCTGCAAAGATTGAATACCAAAACTATTGTGCAGAAATTTGATCTCCTATTGTTGACAGCTGATCATTAACATGTAATTCTGCAGCAATACTATTTACCATCAGCACGAGAACTACAGCGATTGGTTGGAGTATGCAAAGCTCCAATCGCACAACGCTTCTCTGAAACAATTTCAGGAACAGCAACAATCAGAAGCTTTAATCAGGAGTCAAGATTTCAGGAAACAAATATGAAACTGATGGATGAGTACTCACGGCATAGGTTTCATATTTCTGGAGCAATGGAATGGTTGTGCTTCCGTTTAGATATGTTGTCTTCAATTACATTTGCCTTCTTCTTGATATTCTTGATATCTGTTCCTGAGGGGGTCTTAGATCCAAGTAAGGAATTCATATCTAACTATCAAATTTACTCTTCTGTGGTAATGGGGTAAAGCAACATATTTGTTTGTTCTTCTTTCTGATTTCTCTTTTTTGAAGGCATTGCTGGCTTAGCAGTTAGATATGGGCTTGAGTTAAACATAGCACAAACCTGGCTTATATGGAATCTTTGCAGCATGGAGAACAAAATTATATCAGTTGAAAGAATACTTCAGTATACTTGCATCCCAAGTGAGGCTCCTCTTGTAATAGAAGAAAACAGGCCAGATCCTTCTTGGCCTTCATGTGGGAAAGTTGATATTATTGATTTGCAGGTAGTTTCATATTATGTTATATTTGACTCCAAGAAAAATACCAGTAGTACATTTTGAATATTTTTTTTAAGGTTTTAATCTAATTACAAAACTTGGTTATCTTTCCCTAAAGGTGTCAAGTTACCTTCCAAACAGAAAAATCCTAATCTGTTTACAAAATTTTTGTTTAGACATATTTTGAAGGATAAAGGTGATGTTGATATTGATACATATTGTGAAGGTGCGTTATGCTCCACACCTGCCACTTGTGGTGCGCGGTCTAACATGCTCATTTCTTGGAGGAATGAAAACTGGGATTCTTGGGAGAACAGGAAGTGGTAAATCAACCCTCATACAAACAATTTTCAGAATAGTTGAGCCTGCTGCAGGACTAATAGTCATTGATGGCTTCAACATCTCTTCAATTGGACTTCATGATTTAAGGTCTAGATTGAGCATTATTCCTCAGGATCCAACCATGTTTAAAGGGACTGTAAGAAGTAATCTGGACCCACTAGAAGAGTACACTGATGATCAAATTTGGGAAGTGAGTTAGTTTAGTTTAATAAGCATAGACTCACACTAATCTCAGTCCCAAAACTTGAAATTGTGGTTTCATAATGTAGTGTTATTTTCATTCATTAAAAGCTTTTTTAGGTTCTGGATAAGTGTCAACTTGGGGATGTAATTAGGAAGAAAGAAAGAAGGCTAGACTCTGCAGGTTTGGCACTTTAGCTATACATTTTAAGAAGATAAAAGGATATAAAGTATCTATTCTTGAACTTATGTTAAAAAAGTATTTCTTATGTCATATGGATACTGCAGTTTGTGAGAATGGGGAGAATTGGAGTATGGGTCAGAGACAATTGGTTTGCCTTGGCAGGGTGCTACTGAAGAGAAGAAAAATCTTGGTGCTGGATGAAGCTACAGCATCAGTTGATACAGCTACAGATAATTTGATTCAGCAGACTCTTAGGGAACACTTTTTTGACTCCACTGTCATTACAGTTGCACATAGGATAACTTCTGTGCTTGACAGTGATATAGTTCTTCTTCTTAATCAAGGTCAGAAAATAAAGGTTGTTTATATTCCTATTTAGTATTTCCACAGTTTGGTTGATAATTTTTTGTTTCTTTCTCTCATGAACATTTGCAATTTGTTGAACATCATGAGTTTCTCTGCCTGTGTTTTGATTTTCTAGCACTTTCTCCAAGTTTCTGTTGATGTGACTTATCATTTCTATGCTTTCATGCAGGACTAATGGAAGAATATGGGTCTCCAACAATATTGCTGGAGAATAAAAATCTTCATCTTTTGCTAAACTTGTTTCAGAGTATACTTGAGATCCAACTCCAGCTTTGGGAGTTTCGCTGATAACTGATTGAAAATTACATGCAGTTAGCTCAATCATGGACCAGAAAAAGAAAAAGAAAAAAATAAACTTGGTAATTAGTCATGTGATAAGCATTGCTGTCATTCAATGAGAAAAAATGATCAATTTCATAACATCACTGTTTAATAGTGTGCACATATAAATAATCTTTTTTAATGTTTTATGATCTCCAAGACAACATCTCTATTGAATGAGCATATTTTTAGTACTCCTGTAATCGGTGCTCCTTTACTAGAAATAGAAAAAAAAATTGGGACTTATATGACATTAACAATAAAGGAGTGGATGGAATAAATGCAAGTAGGTGGATTACTTTTTTTCAATTTTAGTGAATGATATACCGAGTCTTTAGAATTATGGGAGCACCGAAAATATTTTCCTATTGGAGAGCAGCCACACTGAAGATGGTGGTTCACATTAGGGTGCTTTTTCTGACAATCAGGCTGCGTACTTCTGATTGTTTGATACAGTTATTTATACATATTCAGATCAACCAGCATGATATCCATGCTGAGAAGAAGAAAGCAAAAGAACCATGCCTGAATGATGGATTGGATGGGACTTATATTTTTGTTGATGTTGCATTCTTCTTTGAGTTAAGTATTGATAAATTTGGCATGTCTTCTGCTGTTGTAACCAATGCATCCTGCAATTTATACATTCTAATGGATTGGAAATAGTCAGAAGTTAGAAGAAAAAAAACTTGGGATTTGGCTTAATTTAGTGAGCAGAAAATGGATTTTCTTTTAGATAACCAGTTACTATATGATTAAGGACGAGTTTGTAATGTTGTTATATATGATTCCAAATTCACATATTGTATTTTTTGATTAAATTTAAATCCTGTTATTTTAGCGTTGACATGACATTGCCATTTTAAGACAGAAACATAACTGTTCACTCTGAAAAAAAATGTGGAATCCACTCCTCACATTTTTGTTTTGCTGCACCAAAAAATCATTCACAACAAGATTTTAATAAATCTATAAGAACTTAGTTAATTTAAAATTATAGGATTTTACAGTGGGCCTCATACGTGGGCCTTTGTAACTTGATTGGACCTTCATTTGACTCAAAAAAATTTGTTCGACTATTTCTTGACCGGTTCTTTTACCATTTAGTTATTTGCGTTGATTGAATCGGATACATAACTGGTTCACTAATTTTTTGGTAGAATGGGCTGGTTTTGGTCTGGTTTATTCACCTTCATATTAAGTAATCCACTACTGAGAAACATGTTCCCCATAACAATAATCCAATGTTTGTGACCTTTGTAACCTTTTATGAAGGATTCAAATTGAAGTTTGTGATAAATTTATTATAAAGTTTGTACAAGTATCATTACTCTTTTAAAATGTACAAGTTGTTTAATGATCTTAACATTTGAAAATTAAAAACAAAAATGAAGATAATGCTGATTAACATATAAATTTCGGACAAGGGATAGGTAGTTCTAACTGGTAAGAATCAAAACAGTTTACAGGTAAAGTTAGGTTTGACTCTTGACATAAGCTACCCTTCTTTATTAAGCTACATGTAAGTACCTCTAAACCTTCGCTAAGGCTTGTGTCATGGCCTAGCCTTATAATACAATTGCCTTATTTCCTCCAAAGCTTATTGTGCTATCTTTTCAACGGGATGGACAGCGTGTGATTACAAGCTGTATATCCTAATCTTTGCATAAAAATAGAGTGCTACTACTACTAAAATTAAGACTCAAAAAATGAAACATTTTGCTTAGTTATTTAAGAAAATTAAACTTAATCAAGAACAACACTTACCTAGTAATTAAATATTCTGCATCATTTAAATAAATTTCGTACAAATTTAAGAACTCCCAGTCAAAGCATAACTACATTCTTCAGATAAACATGCGTGGCACTTAGTACTGGTAGGCAGGCATAAATTACTTGAATCTTTGATAGGTAAAATTTACTTTACTGCATACAATCAAAAGGAGAGAAAGAGCCAGAGTAGTAAGACAATGTACATTATAAGACCATAGAAAAAAATACCCTGGTTGAACTTGAATAGTCTTCATATAATTATTTAAGAAAACATATTCTAGGTTGTCAGTAGCGGCCCGTAGCACAGCTAAACCGCTACCGTAACGGGTAGCGGCGGTCGGCCGCTACAAACCGTGACGCTACGCGACATTGGCCATAGCGGAAGGTAGCGGCGTAGCGTAGCAGCAATACCTCTACCCGCTACACCGCTACACCACTCTCATGTTGGAATTTGATGGAGAATCCGGAGATGATGATGATTTTCTTTATTAGTTCACTTTCTGTACTTGACTATTTGACAATTTTATTGTTTAGTTGTGTTTAATTTTAGATCCTTCCTTTATGTTCCTTGTATTTGACATTGATTGTGGAATTATGTGTTTGATTTTGTGTGACTTCTTATGTTTGAGCATTAATACTAAAAGCGGTATTGCCTCGTTTCTTGATTATTAGTATAATATATGTGGAATTAATACTTCACCGTAGCGGTAATACCGCTACCCGCTACACCATTTTCAGGGTTGGCCGCTACCGGCCGCTAACTGCTATTGACAACTATGAACATATTGTTTGGGTCATGCAGTAGGACCATATGCTCAAGAGTCAAGACATGTAGGCTACAATGACATTCATGGAATCAAAATGCCAAAGCATGAGAGATTATGTTTAGTTATTCAGTCTAACTACAGGATTTGGAGTATAATTTCAATTTGTGAACATGACAAACAAGAAATCAACAACAAAATCTAGCTTTCCAGTCCCTACCAAGTGCATGATTTCTAAGCAAACTATTGTGTGAAAAGAGAAAAAAAAAAAAAAACAATAACAACAACAAAGAAAAACCCAAAACAGAACTAGAAAGATAAAAATAGAATTATAAGGCAGGAGCACACTTGATGGTCCTCATCTTGGAGCTTTCTTTCTCCATTCTGTTCTACCCCGGTTTATCTCAAGTCCTTCATCAGTAGACAATCTTAGTAGATGTAGGAACTGCTGGCAGGCTTGTGTGTCTTCCGTTGCTATGGCAAATCCATTTGTACCTTTGAGTTCTGGAACCACCTCAGCACCCTCAAGTGGTTCCTCACTGGTGAGGGAGTCAACTATGTCATTTCGTTGGCACTCTCTTCTGTAATCCAAGGTGATACTCTGCAACTCATGGCTATCAATGATTTCTTGAGGCATGCTCTGACAAAGTAATAATACAGTTAGTCAGCTAGTCACACCAAAAAAACTAACATTATTTTTTTATATGAAATTAATGATTTAGGTCAGGTCTATGTGTGTATTTATGACAAGGATATTAAAAGCATAAGCAACAAACCAGAAGAAGTTACAAAGAATTGCAATTTAAAAGAAGTGCATGGAAGTTTATTTCTACACAATTACTATTTGAAACTTCTTCCTGACAATGTTAAAATGGGGAGAGTGACCATTTTGCTACGTTTGGACAAAAAAATTACCAGACTGCCACGCCAACAGTAAATTTTGCCAAAATGCCACACGGCATAATTCGCTACACAGTGTAGCGAAATATGCCACGTCAAAACGCATAGAACCAAAAATGCCACATGTCAAATTTTGCAAAATTCGCTACATAGGGTAGCGAATTTTGCAAAATTTGACATGTGGCGTTTTTGGTTCTGACGTGGCATATTTCGCTACACTGTGTAGCGAATTACTTGCATACATAATTCGCTACACTGTGTAGCGAATTATGCCGCGTGGCAGTTTGGAAAATTTTACTGTTCACGTGGCATTCTGATAATTTTTTTGCCAAAACGTGGCATTTTGATCACTCTCCCGTTAAAATGCAAGTCCCAGTCGCATGTCTTTTGAAAAAAGAAAACAAATACAAGTATCCAAATCATTAAAGAAAAGTAAATATATATATATATATATATATATATATATATATATACATATAGAAAGCATGTCAAGTGAGAGTACTCGTTTATCAAGAGAGCATGATGAATTGATGAGTAGTTTTAATTTTGATCCAAAGTCCATGTAAAGTTTTTAATTAACACTCACTAAATCATGATTGACAAATCATTAAGAGTTTGACTTTTTAAGCATTTGTCATATAGTCAAACTCTTGTCGTGATAGGGAAATTCATGAATAAGCCATAGTGTAAAAAACTTTTGCATTGACATGGGATGGAAGTCCCATCCATCCAAGCACACAGACCAACAGAGGGTAGAGATCAGTTCATGCTGATGCAAAACAAGACACACATCCCGGAATATCTTACAGATATATTTTGTTGTCAATGCAACCACTGAATTATTAATAATTGTGATTTTGATCAAGGTGACAAAATTTAGAAAAATTGGACCAAAATAAGTATGCTATCAAGTAATTGATATTTTCTTATATTTAAAAATATTGCACTACGAGATATAAAGATGGGGTACAACAAAAAGGGTAAAATAAAAATATGCATGAAGTGTCAGTAGAACCAAACTCATAAATAATGAATAGAAAGTATTTCAATAAATTAAAGAGACAATATAACAACCTCAAGCACCCATCCAATATAGGTGACATTGTTAACATGGTGATTCATGTCCAGATCTGCTCTTCTAGGCTGCAATATATAAAAGCATAGTGAGAAGGCCAATTATTTTTACTCCAATGAAATTCTTTATTTTGTGCCTGATTAAAAAAGGAAAAAGATTCTTTGAGCCAAATGATCATACCACAAGTCCAACTCTGGAAGACTGAGCAGGATCTTCCAGTTTTGGAATTTTCTTCAAGCAATTACTATCCTCCTCAGGAATTGCTAACCTAAAACCACAAAATAGAAATAGGAAAAAGGGAACAAAAATTAACCACTTTTAACCTAAGCAGCAATCCAGCCAGGTTATTGAAATTCACTAACAGACAGGTAATGTAATTGGGCAACCAACACCATATGCCCCATAAAACTCCAACCAAGATACTTGTAGTATGCTTACTAAGACTGAAAAAATTGTTTAAAATTTAATTTTTGTACCAATGAAAAAAATAATTCATTATAGGAAGTTTCTGCTTGTAGAGGCCCCCAATTAGGAAGGTGAATGAGAGAGGAAATCAGGATGGGTCCAATTACTTAATTGGGCCCCTCCCTGTTATTAATAGTAGTTCCAGTTAACTGGTTTTGTTAGATATATTAGATACAGTTACCTCAGAAGCCCCAGAAATTATTCCTCATCTGCTTAAAAACACAATTCAAAAGCAACTAAACAAAGCAAAACATTGAGTAAATTTTGAATGTTTTAGCGCATTATCGATATATGGTAAAGAAAAGTGCCTACCTGGGCTCTCGAGGACAAAACATCAAAACCTCCTCTCGAACATCATCAGAAACTTTTTGGAGTCGTCTGGTGTCCTGATTCATCATTAACCACTTGCTAAATAATAAAATGTAGATGGTCAGCTTTACTAAAACTATCGAAAACAAGTGATCGCATCAGACAGTATAGCATACAACATAACATGTCAAAATTTAGAGATGCGCCAATTTACATGATGCAAAGGAATTCATTGTTAACGTCACTTGATTTGTATCAAAGGATAGTTTTCTGTCAGATCTAGATCTTAGGACATTATTATTTCTGAACTTTAACAATTTATAAAATTCTGAGCATCCTTGTCACTTGGGTACGGAGTTCAATGACCAGTAGCTTAGCCTCCTATTCTTTTGCCACTAAATAGGCCAGGTCATAGGCTTATTGCCGATGGTTGGTATCACAAGAAACTATTATGAGTTCAGATGAGGACATAGATTTTAAAAGTGCAGAGGACATCGAAAACAAAATCATGGGAAGGTCCCTCTAAATGGTTGCCCCAAAAGTAAAAAGTGGTCAGATATCATCCTACATGATGAAGGCATATACTACCAATCATTAACAATTGATTAGATTAGCATCTATGAACTGGAAGGTTCCAAACCAGAAAATCTCGGTAGGCTGTTACTGTATAACACTGATCATATAATTATTATAGGGAAAAATATCTAAATCTACCATGACCGTCCAATTTGAAGGCGAAACTAGTACCTTGTTGCTCTTCCGATGACTTGATCAGTTGCATGGTCTTTAAGTATAAAATCACGCCTTACTCCAACCCTCCCTTCCCCTTGACACCATGTCTCTATCTCAACAACATCACTCCTGTTAGAAAAAATTTAAGTTAGATTTAGCAAATTACAGTTTATAAACTGAGTGTATTGAAGCGCAAAACCCACCAAGCAGGGTATTTGTAGATTTCAATGTGCATGCGAGCAGTCACCCATATGAGACGCAATTTTCTCATGGTAGGGGTTGTTGCAAAACCATCAGTTGAATATCCAACACTCTGAGCATGATTACATCCAACCTCCTGCAACACAAAGTCAGTAGACATTTCAAAGCAGAATTGGTGTGGAATACAATTGCACATATACTTTATATTAGACAAATCCAGTTCCTCCAGTGACCAATAAAGAATGATCAACAGAAGTAATACAGTGTTCAACTGACAAGATAAACATTTGCAGATAATCAAATTCAACAAAAAATTTAAATTGAGACTTCAAAGTTCAATAGGCTAAAGTTTCTCAGTTGAGAAATCAGTAGACCTGCAATATCAGCAAGTACAAGATATGTAGCTCAATACAGAACAGACATTATCTGCTGAAAGGAAATAGCTGAAACAAACATTCAAGCGATTTAGAAGAGTTGTGTAATCCAAGAAAAACCAGACAAATAAACAATCCCAGCTGCCAAAATTCACAAAACTCATTAAAAATAAAAAGTCAACTAAACAAATTATTAATTCTAAAAAGCATGAATAAGAAAGATAAGAGCACAATTTTCCAAAATTTTGTCCTCCATGCATGGAACTCTGCCATCAAGATCTGCACAAATGAAATTGGTACAAAAAAAAAAACAACCTTAAATGCCAAAAATCTTCAATTTGTACTTCAAAAAAGATTTCCAGTCAAAAGAGGCAAAAAAAAAAAAAAAAAACTGCACAAGAACCAAGAAATAAAACAACCCCAAAGCCAAAAATCTTCATTTTATACTTCCAAAAAAGGAAAAAAAAAAAAAAGTTCCCACTTCCCAATCAAAAACAGGAACAAATGCACATGAACCAGAAACTTCCAGATGTCTAAAATCCCACCCCCAATCACAATCAAAAGATTAAACGTCCACTTGTCCCTCACAAACAATTGGATCAAACAATCAAATCACCAAAGAAGCAAACAATTCAAAACTCAAAATCAAAAACCAAAACCTGCAAGAGATTTGCAATGGTTTCAACAGTAGCAGTCTTATTGATCCCAACTTCATAGCTTCTGACAATGAACTTCTCCTTATAAGACAACCCATCCTCCGTCAAGCTCCCAAGCCGCAACCGGTCCGCCAAACTCCCCGAATCCGGTTCGACCCGGTTCACCGCAGCACCGTCCCTGTTCGATACCACGGCCACAATCGGCGACCCTCTGGTCACCGGAAACCGGAACCCGGCAGTGGTGCTCCTCCCCCGGCTAGCAAGAACAGAAGCGGGTCGACCCATTAACCCACATTGGGCGAGGAATTGAACCCGGTCTGCGCCATTGCACGAAAGCTTCAACATTTTTTTTTTATTGAAAACACAGAAATTAAAGAAAAAGGGTATCAGGATCTGTCTGAGTGTGTAAGTGGGTATATGCAGAAATTGTAGTAGATAGATACGAGGAGATAATTGAGAAGAGGAAAATGATGTAGTGGTTAATGCAGTTGCAACTTGTAAAGCGTTAAAGAAGTGATTTTGAATATAACGATGTTGGATAGGGATGGCAAGAAACACAGCAATGTGAGTGAATGCGGCACGTGTTATCAATGACCATTTTTTTGTTTTTACCAAATTGCCTTTGTCTTTTAAACTTTTTACCCCAAATGTTTTGTACTTTGTCGACATGTCAAGTGTGGAGCTCATGAATTTCTTACAGACATGCACCAACTTATGTTAGAAATAGTTTTTATTAACAACTCAATTTAAATTATTAGAAACTAACTTAATTTAATTTATTAACTTAAATTACAAGATTTTGTTAGACCAGTTTCCTTTCAGCTTAAAAATTAAGGGCCAAATTGGTAACCGGATAAAGATGATATGATATGATATGATAGATTATTATATTTTATTTTTATGTATTATTTGGGGAACTAAAAGAATATAATAAGGCTATCATGTTGGCTCATCTTACCATACCTGTAGGCTATAGATAAATCTTTGGTATTATTATTATATCCAAGTGGGTATAATATTTTTTCAATTTTGGAAAAAAGTGTAATATGGGGGGAATTTTTTTTTGAAAAGTGTTGAATTTTTTTCCAAAAGTGAAAAAATGTTGTACCCACTTGAGTACAACAATGGTACCAAAGATTTATCCGCAGGCTACACCAAAATAAATTATCTTAAAAGAGGAATCGGGTTAGGAAAGAACAAAATAGGAGATTATATGTCACATCCTCTCATCCAAATACAAACTTATATTCTTCTCCTAAGAACTTTAGCATATGACAGTCTCCCTTTGTCACTGAATCAATTACCGCTGCCTATGGTGCATGTCATGGGTCACCTCTACCACCCATTGTCACTCCCATCAACCACCACCATCGTCACACATCATCACCAGCATCATTAGTCACCACCACAACATTGATCAACCCCTACAATTGTCATCGGTCACCATGAGCATTGCCACCACTACTTCCACTGACTATCCCACCAACCAACTGCCACCATCGTTGTCGTTGCCATTAGCCATTGTCGTCGTTGTCGGTCGCCACCACAAACCAGTTGCCCCCAACTATTAAGCACTAGGTACCAACCATCACCACCATTGTTGTCGGTCAGTGGCGGACCCAGAAAATTGTATTTGTGTCTGCACATTTAGTGGTGGATCCGCCGTTGCATATAGCTCTAAACACTGGTGGTAGGAATGACAAGGAGCATGCCTTGGCCTCAGAAACAACGGTTGAAACATTGAACATGATGCAACAAGATACAGATGAGAGATAGGAGAGGAGTTCATCCAATTTGTCATCAGTGGATGTATCCTCTGATGCTGAGAGTCCAGTAAATGGTCAAACTTCTATGGCAAGCACCTCAAATCATATTTTAGTGACAGCTCAAAAGCAAGTTGTTTCCCCAAATGCTGATCCTTCTTACCCCTCCTTGGAGGAAAATTTTTCCTTGTTTCTTTTAAGTACTTTAAATTATTTGTGTGTAACAAGAACCAAGCGAAGGAAAAATCGAGCTATATTCCAGAAAATTAATGTCTGCAATTGTAGACATAAGAACACATGTAGGTCCTCCATTGTTGTCGGTCAGTCATTACAATTATCACTGGTTATTGTTGATAACGTCACTAACACCAGTATAAAATTATATTTAAAAAAGGATTTTTTATCTATATATATTAAGGGTTCATTTTTTCTACAGTGAATGTAGATAACTTATCTACATTGAATCTAAAACGATGTCGTTTTGAGGCGGAAATCAAGGTATTTTTGTAATTATAATTTATTTCAGGGTTATAAGAGTCCTTTTTATTATAATTTTTTTATTTTTTAACCCAAAATGATGTCGTTTTGAGAGCGAATGTAGATAACTTATCTACATTCACTGTAGAAATATTAAAGCCATATATTAATTACCATAATACTATATGGTTTAGTTTAAATACCAGATAATATTATCTTATTAAACTACTTATCTAATGTATACCAAATACATGATAAAATACGACTTTATCAAGTTTATGTCATTTCCTAGTTTTATCTTGATATTTTACCTTATTTATTCCTAGTCCACTAAAATCAATCGACCCAGAAAGAGGGGAAACATTGATGGTTTCTCATGTTGTAGGCATATTGGCTAGATGTATGGGAGGAGATTTCCTCAACTATAAATTTTTTAATGATAATTGTAATTTGGAGAGTTCTATTTTTTTATATAAATGTCGCTAGAGCACACATGTAAATATGTTTTTTTATATATTTTAGTGACTTGTTTAGAATCAACGAGAAAAGAACTAATCAGGTTTTTAATATATATATATATATATATTAAAAGAAAAAATTAATTACCAACATGTAACAATTTTATACTGCGCGTACATGTCAAATGTGTAGCTCATCAACTTATGAAGAGTTTCTCATCTCACACACATGCACCAACTTAAATTTATTAACTTAAATTTAATGAGTTTGTTTGGCCAATTTTTGCCATCTTAAAAACTACTTTAAATAAAAATAAAAATAAAAATAAAAACTCAAAAAATAAAGTTAAAGCAATTTTAATGTTAGTTGGGCAACCAAGCTACTAATTAGGCAAGGGAAGATGAATATCGACTTTGAAACAACAGCAGCGAATCAAAACCTTCTTACTGCACTTTACTTTCAGGTGATTGAGCTCTTGGTACCACTTGACATGTGATCCATACACAACACCTTGCCAACATCATCATTGTGAACCGTTCTAATCAAGGGATATAGGGAATTTAAGTTGTTTCTCCATGCTTTTGTGCAAGTGAAAAAAGTAATATTATTATTATTATTATTATCATAAATGGAAATAAAAAAAACTAAAATTTCACTTGACAATTTTTTTTATGAGAAATTTTTTACATAATTTTCTTTTATAAAAAAATTACCTCTTTATTTTTTTTTCTAAAAACTATTTTATCCAATTTTTCCTCTAAAAGTGAAAAAGAATATGAAAATAAATAAAAAATGTAGTTATTAAATATACAAATAAAAAGCTAAATAGCACAAAATCTATACTCAAAAGGTACTTAAAATCATACAATATATTATTACTGAAATTAATTTTTTTTTTCCTTCTAACTATATATATAGCATCCATGCAATTTGGAGGGTTGGGTAAGATGACAATATAAGTACTATCAGGGATGAAAAAGCTATCAAACTAGCAAGGGTTTCAATAATGAGTTTTTTAAATGTACTACCGATCTTTTAGGTAAAAAAATGTCCATATAATTTGTTTTTCAAAAGATATTTCAAATTAATATGGTCCGATCAATCCTGCACATTGATTGTACGAGACAAGTCACACATATCAACTATGCAAAACTTAATGTCAGTATGAAAGTCTTACACTTTAACTGTAAGAGACTTTTAAGTAACGCACATTAACCGTACGAGACTTTTAAGTCACGCACGTTAACCGTACAAGACTTCTAAAGTCGGTACGTTAACTATGCAGATCTAGTGCTAGGGTGGAAGTCTCACATGACAAATATACTGCACTTTGCGAGACTTAAAAATACAAATGTATGAGACTATATATGAGAGTCCGTAAGTTTATTGCATGTGGGGCTTTTACACTATCACTATGTCTCACATGGTTAACATATGTGACATAAAGGGGTCGTTTGGCACGAAGTATTTTCTTGGATTTTTGGGAAACTGAATTTTTTTAAATTTTAAATTTTTAAATATTATCGTAAACGGAAGGTAAAAATCATATTTTTAAAAATTAAGATTCCTGTACCAAACGTCCCCAAGAGTTTCATACCAACACGGTCAATGTGAAAATTTCCAATTTAACACTAAGTCTTATATGTCAACGTACAAATAGTTGTCATACAGGTTACTCTAAAATATCTTTAAAAAAAAAAAAAAAACTAAATAGGTATTTAATTTGGCCAAACACATTGGTATGGTTAAAAAATTAAAGTCAAAGCTAGATAATTATTATGCTAATTAGTTATGATAAATTTTATATCTATGTGAGTTTCTTTTACAACTCGAGCAGCGGAGATAACAAGAAAACCTGATTAAAAAAATAATTAACATCATTAAATAAAACAATTACATAACACCCATGCAATTTATAGAAGTTGACGTTTGAACGGCAAGCTAACCCTATTAAAAAACTTGACTTATTCCCCTTTGAACGGCGAGCAAATCCTATAAAAAATAGCCCCGTGTCACTCGTATCTGCTTATATCAACACAATTCAATTGGAAATAGCCGCCTGGCTTTTAATTATAAGCTGTCGGAGTTCATCAAAAAAATAATAGCAGACACCGGGTTGTATGAACAGAGAGTTAAGTATCCTTCAACATCCATCCATTAATGTTTCAGGCTTTTGTCAACAATCAACTTCATATTTTTTTCACTTGAGACTTCAACATCCTGCAATTAAGGTTCCTGCCTTTAGTCAACTATTGGTGAATTAGCACTTTCTATGACTTAGTCATGTAACAGTCAGCCACGTAACTGATTTTTTTGGGTAATATCATTTCATTGGTCACCTTATAAGGTGTTTTATCAAATAACAACTTGTACACGTAATATTGGATATGTAAAAAATTGTCCCATCATAACTTTTAATTTTTTTAAACCTTATTAGTTTTTCCCCAAAATTATGTTTAACGTTACACATACATGAATATATTGTTAGAGTAAAAAATTAAAATAAAAAGACAATTTAACTCTTTAATTTATTTACTTTTTAATTAGATACCATAGCTCTTTTATTTTATTTTATTTTGATCCTTTGGGAATAGATAAGGAAAGTTATATATTCAAATTAACAATTTTATTGGAAGAATTAATGAGTGTATGTTACATAGACCTGTGGATAAAAGCTATTCTAAAGAATAAAAAAAATTAAAGGGGTATTCATTTTTCATTTAATTAATAGTATACCGTCATCTTAATTCATTAAAATTTCGAAGTAAATATGCCTTTATT